CTATATCAGGTAGAACACAACTAGTGAAATCGAGAGATGATATTGATGAAAAGTTTTTAGCAAACAACTCAGCTTTGTCTTTAAGTGAGATGACAAAATCTGAATTATACAAGATAGGTGGAATAATAGATTTGCCCTTATTATTGATACTGTTAATAATTCTCCTGAAGTCACAAGAGCCTAATTTTTAAGATGATATACAAGATTTCATGGCCTGAGAATAGCGGGCTTTGGCGGTAGAAAAAACCTTTTTACAATGGTTTATAGCAATAGTAAACAGACATTCTGGAGAATTGTTTTACTGATAGATATGAAAGTAAAGGTTTCGACTGGAAATTGCAGTAGCACTATGTGAGGAAAACCTTGGAGAAGAGTGAAGCTTGATTTGGAATCGTCAGGAAGGAATAAAGAATATGCGAGAGGGATATAGAATAAAGTGAAAGGTAATAGAGTGAAGTGGTGCTAGAAAAAAGCACATAAAAGAATAGTTGGTTGATTCAAACCTAGTTTTCTGGCAAATTGGTGAATTTTTACAAATGCCCAGGCCAAGCATGTGACTACTTGAACTTAACTCAAAGCACAGACAATACACTATTTAATAGTCCAAGCAATTGCCTCATTACTACTAATAAACCCTTAGCCATAACAAAGGGCTCCAAATGTGACCTTGACAATGCACACCAAAAGTATGAACAGGGACATCATCCATGCGCAGCATGGCACTGTCAGTACTCTGATATTTTGCATCTGTTGATGGAATCAGCCTCTCTGAGAGCTAACCCAGAGTTTGGAAAACCTGACTACCAGCAGGTCTTAGAACTATAAACCTTAGTTTTAAAGCTGTACTTTCATTAGGAGATTTTGCTTGTGCCTCTGTTTTTATGACTAGGCAATTCATCAGAATGATTTGCCTAGTCATAAAAACAGAGACACAATCTAAACTCTTGCATTGAGTCAAGAAGATCCAGCATTCAACATCCTAAACTGGAAGCAATGTATTATAAATACATCTGTGCCAGCCTAATAGATGAAGAAGGGGTGCAGGGCTAGTCAGGAAATCAAACCTGTTTACCGTCTAAGTCTTTGCCTAGGAGGCCTACAACAAGACAGTAAATGGTTGCGTTAAACATCTGCCCTAATCAGCATTTTTATTGAGACTACATCTCTAACTTTGACTAAACCAAGTCTGAGTTGGCTTCTCCTAGCCAATGTTGCATAACAAACAGCAATACTGACCTCAATCTAATGTGTTGACAAAATGAAGTTCAGGAATGTTTACTAGAACAGAGTATATATAAAAACATTTTCAACATGTATCATATTGTATCATATTGTATGCTTTAGCAAGCATACAATATGATACAGACTTACGAGAAACAGCTCCAATTGTTACAGCAGTTTAAATGGATGCAGTAATAAATAAAGAAAATGATACCAAGTTAGTTATTGATCATGACAAAGTCAACCGAGTTTAAGAAAAAAAAATTTTTATTAGTAAAACCTACAAATTGATTTCTACATATTTGTTTTGATGTATACTTTATGTGCTTTGGATTGTGTGTTTTACGGTCCATGTGTTTCAGTGTGTATCTTTGCATATTATTACTTATATTACATTAAAAATTGGTGACACTCCTTTGATCAGATTTCTGTATGAGTGACACCATCTCATCACTATATTAGTTATTATCATTATTTTTTTAACTATTGTAAACATACTTATTATTACTATTACTATAATTTGTATAATTTGCAGTCACTTTCTATAGAGTTTGACACTCAATGCAGGACTAGCATTATTGATTGTGTTTTTTTTTTTTGATGGTAGAATTAATAATACAAAAGTTCAATTAATAGTTGGAGGCTCACCTAAATATTATCCTGCTACAATCAAAGAGGAACATTATACAGTATGTAAAGAGCCCGGTGCTAGGTATTATCTCCATTTTACACCTGAAAAAGTTCAAACACATAAAAACACTGTGAAGTAATTGCTCTGAATATATACAAATTTTTGAAAAATAATGGTACCAATAAAAGCTTAAAAGCAATAGGCAGTGATTCTACTAATGTTAACACAGGGTGATCATGCAGAGCAATACATAGGCTGAAAGTGAAATTAAAAAGCTAAACTAGCTGGTTAAAATGAACAAATGAACTTCCTTCGCATCATCTTGATCAACCACTCTTGATGGAGAGACTCTGAGCAGCAACAAATGCTGGAAAAGCAGTATTAGAAAATTATTAAATGACGTAACTGATTTGGAAATTATTCCTTTGAAAAAATTTATATCAGAAATCCTCTTATTACTCTAAAGGATAAATTAATCAAAAATTTTTCCTCCGATCAGTTTATGGGTATAAATAGTCTCTGCCATTAAAAGTGGAAATACATCCGCAGACTTGACTTTACATGAAATTGGGTCAGTTAATCATTGATAGTCAACAGACTTTGCAGAGTTCAGGTCTCAAAACATGAGTTAAAAGGCAAAAATTTTACATGACTATGTGATTTAAAATTAAAGTCAGACAGGTTTACTGAAAGACCGAAACACATTCTTTACCAGCCTTCTGAAACATCAATCAAGTGAAGCTGTTGCATTTTTTATGCTGACAGTGCGATGTTTGGTGTGGTTTCTTTCTCTGAGTCTGTCATACAGACCATGCTCTGCTCAGAGAATGTAGAGGAAAAAAAGAACGGTATAAAGTTAATTCTGAAAATGAGAGACCCTGTTGACAAAAAACTTCAAACTGGTGATAAAAATGTGAGAGCTAGAATAACTCCAGAAATAAACCCTGATGCAACAACACTTATACATTGATGCAACATCGCTTGATCTGATGCAACAACACTTATACATTGATGCAACATCGCTTGATCTGATGCAACAACACTTATACATTGATGCAACATCGCTTGATCTGATGCAACAACATTTATACATTGATGCAACATCGCTTGATCTAATGCAACAACACTTATACATTGATGCAACATCGCTTGATCTGATGCAACAACACTTATACATTGATGCAACATCGCTTGATCTGATGCAACAACACTTATACATTGATGCAACATCGCTTGATCTGATGCAACAACACTTATACATTGATGCAACATCGCTTGATCTGATGCAACAACGCTTATACATTGATGCAACATCGCTTGATCTGATGCAACAACACTTATACATTGATGCAACATCGCTTGATCTGATGCAACAACACTTATACATTGATGCAACACCGCTTGATCTGATGCAACAACACTTATACATTGATGCAACATCGCTTGATCTGATGCAACAACACTTATACAGCAAATTAACTGGACTATCTCCTATGAGCTTATTCTTACTTGTGATCTGACAACAGATGAAGTAAAACAGATTATATTTCAGCCTATGGATGTTCTGGATTGGCCTTGTCATGGGGAGTCAATTGAAAGACAAGTTAAACAGGTAACAGATGCAGTAAGCAAAGTTTATTCTCATGAAAAAAGGGATGGTTTTATAAGTGGGCAGGATTTATCTAGACAGTTGATGACTACTAATTGGTCAAAGAAGTATTTTATCTTAATAATAGAAATTAAAAAATTGTAAATTTTATTTTGTTAAAAAAATTTTAATAAAAAGAATTCTTATTTTATCAAATAGATAACTAAATGATATATAAATGATTATAAATAGAAACTATTATAAAAGTTTTAATAATAGATAAAAAAAGGACTGAAAAAAAAGTTAAGGCCGTAAAAAAATACAACCACAAGCAAAATGTTGCTAATCTTGTAAGAATTTTTTTGCGAATTTAAATGAACCATAAATCACCATTCCAGATAACTTAATCATTTAAGTTTTTTTTAATCTAAGCTTTTTATAGTACTTTTATATAAAAATTAAGTTTTTAGAACACAGGGTTTTCAATATGGGAAAAAAAAAAAAAATGACACACCTTATTATGAAAGGTCATAATAACCAACATAATAACCAAGTTTTGTGGTAATTGAGTTTTATAATATGACAAAGTAATGTTAACTGGCAACATATAAAAAATATTAAAAAGTTTACTTGAATAACAAAAAATTAATGTATTTAAAAATTTATATAAAATGTATATTTGCTTTACTTAAAAAAAGAGCATTACAGCCTAACAAAAAAAAGCATTAGTTACTAAAAGATGCAATACAACTTAAAAAAAGGGTTGCAGCTTAAAAAGAGGAAATGTTATAGCAACCAAAAACATTTTCGGAATAATTAAAAACAGAAGGAAAAAGATCTACCAATTGAAAACTAGAAATTAAATTTTGTATTAAATTTATTTGATTAAATTATAAAAAGTAACTTTTTTTTAAAATCTATTTATTTAACCATAAAATCAAAAATTACAAATTTAATTATTATTTTACAAAGTTAGGTTTGGTGTCACTCATATAGTTAAAAACTAGTCAATAAAGTGACATCTTAATAATATAAATAAATAAATGAAAAAAATATTAAAACAAGGAAATAATAAAGAAAGTAAACTACATTAATACAAGTAATAAAAGAAGTAATAGAAACAACAATATTAAAAAAGTTATAATCAGAACAAAAATTTAAAGAAGTAAGGCTTAGAAAAATGAAAAAAAGAGGGACAATGAACGGAAGAGATAAGATGAGTGAGAAAATTGTAATAAGAAAAAAAAATTAATCACAAATTCAGAAGGATAGAATGAGAGAAAAATTTTTTTGCAGAAAAATATAAAAAAGCAAAATAAAGGCAAACTTAAATAAAAAAATATATATATACATACACTACTAAATTAAATATTAAAACCTATATTACACATTAATTAGATTAGTTAAACAAAAATTAATATCAAGATATAGAAAAAGCAATATTTTATCAAAAATAAAAATTTTGTAAAGCAATTTACTGACTTTAATAGTAACTAATGTTTAAATAATTATTAAGATTTAACATACTTTTATTTAGTTTATAAAACTAAAAACACTTACTTGGTATGATGAATACATACAAATCATTCTCTTATTTTTAGATAACCCAAGCTTGCTAGCCTAAAATGTAACTCTTATAAAAAAAACTAACTAAAATGTAAAACTTATAAAAAAAAATACATATATATATATATATATATATATATATATATATATATATATATATATATATATATATATATATATATATATATATATATATAGATATATATATATATATATATATATATATATATATATATATCAACTAAAGTTAAAATTTTAAACAAAAAAAATTCTAAGAAAATTAATCATCTTATGTATAATAGAAAAAAATTTGTATTGAACCATAACATCATTCAACAAAATTCCAATAACAAAATTCCAATAACAACCTGATCAGTGGCAGCAGCAAAAGTGGAAAGAAAACTTGCTCTAGTGGCTGATTCAGGACACTTTGAATTTGTTACTACAAAAGAAAAAATTAATTAGGAAACAAGTAGTATAAAACAGGCACTTCCTTAAAGGGATCCCAAACTCCCAACACATGTTGTGTTCATATTAAAGATAATGTTAAAAAAAAAGGTTTGAGCCAAATTTTTTTGAATAAAAATAAATAATGAATGCATACCGTGAAAAACAAATGTTGCTGTTTTTGCCGAAGCTCGTCTTCTCCATTTTTTTGAACTAATCGGAGTCTTCAAATTATGCGTCGCAATCTACAGACTTTGGCAATTCCTTTGAAGCGCGTTTAATTCATAAAAGTTTTAGTATTTGACGTCACGGTAGACTTTTAATAAATTAAACTCTAGAAATATTTTTATTTATTTTTAGTCGAAGTTTTTTTGATTATTTGTTTAGTTTTTTTTTTTTTCTACTTTTAATATTTAAAAAGATATTAAAAACCTTTTATGCTGGTTCGTTGCTATAAATTGTTATTGCGCCATATATTTAATGTTTATAAATTATGAATATTTATTATCTCAAAAATTGTTTTACATTAATTACCCGTATAAAATTAGTAACAGCTTTTTTATTTGGTTAGACGATATTTCGTTTCAATTTGCTTTGCATGAAGTTCGGAAAGTCAAACGAAAAAAATTAGTTTGAATAATCACATAAATCAATATATATTTAAAACAAATTATTTTAATGACGGGGGTTCTTAAGTTTTTTATAACAAATGTAGGTAAAAAAATAAATAACTAAATAAAAAGTTCAGTATTAAACACCATTTCTTTATTCTATTGCAACTGTAAATATTGAATTATTAACTTGAACTAAATTTACTTATTATTTAGAACGACTAAGCAATAATAATAAAATGCCCTAAAATTATGCGAGATTGTGTTGTTTATTTGATAATTGTTGTTGGCAATGTTGTTTATGTTGATTATTTTCATAAATATCAAAATAGTTCCAGATTAACCTGTTCGTTGCTTTGCTCATTGTTGATTTATTTCTAATTTAATTTTATCTCAAACTATAATTATATGTTAAAAAAGAAAAGTTTTTATTTCATCAGGCGCTCTTTTTATAAAAGAGTAGAACAAAAGAGAAAGAAATGTTTCGCGCAATTAAACTTTGAATGAGTAAGAGTTGTAAAGAATATATATTTTTTTTGCTTCACTCATTCTTTTTTTAGATGAGAGAAATAAAAGTTTAATAGTAAATTTTCTTTGAATAAGTGAGAATTGGAAGAGAAAATTGCTTGAAAATTTGTATTTGTTAATTGTGTTTTTAAAATTTTTTAATTTTTTATGTTAAGAGACAAATGCCAATTACGACACAAATTTGGAAATACCTAATATAATATGTTTTTTAATTCGCGTTATGACATTTTAACAATTTAAATTACCATCTATCTTGAATTATTGCCTTTAATTAATGTGTTAATTATTGCGTTATTTAATAATAATTTGTTCGTATTTTTGTTAAATATTAGTTGTATAAAACGGGCGAAAATATACAAACTTTATGTTTTTTATTTGATGGTTATAAAATATTGAACAGTAAACTTATAATCAAAATTTCTAATGCCGACTTGTGTTGCAATTAATTGTACTTTAATGCAAAATCAGGATCTCACAAATCCTTTCACGAATTTTCATATCTGATACTACTGTCAACTGTATTGTTTAGTGTATTCTTGCACTTTTTTTTCATAATCTTAACAGGTTCTAATTGGTATAGAGTTGCTGACACTTTAAAAATTTCATTATCAAAAATCAAATGTAAAATAAAATGGCATTTCCTTTTTATCCGTATCCAATTCAGCAAATTTAGCAATTTAAATTAAATCAGCGTGATCAAAAAAATTTTATAATAAAAAAAGTTAACAATTCATTAAATATCTCTAATTAATACTGTCAGTTTATGAAAGTAATTGTTAATAAATACTTTTTTTCGACGGGAAAACAAAAAATTGTCATAGCGTAAAAATAACCAGAGAAGTTAGAAAATAGTTCCCTTTGTTTAAATAAAAATAATTAAGAATCAGAATATATAATACTGCGCTCTCTTGCGCAAAAACAAGAGACCATATATAAAACGTTCTATATAAAGTAAAATACTCGTATGAAAATCATGAGATTGGTAAGTAAAGCTTTAATATTTGTTTTAATTAAAATAATTAAAGAAATATAAGTAAGATATATAAATCTAAAAATTATTAAGATCTGTAAAAATCTGTATCTGTAAAAAGTATCTGTAAAAAATAAGTTGCTCCTATAAAATAAAAATAATTTATTGTTTTTACTTTTTACAAAATTTTTTTTGCGATGTTTGGAAAAATAATACAAATAAATTTGTTTTGCTGTATGTTAAAAAAATACTACAGTAGAAAAACGCAGCTTAGTTTAATTACACTTTTCTTTTGTTAAAAGTCTACCGTGACGTCAAATACTAAAACTTTTATGAATTAAACGCGCTTCAAAGGAATTGTTAAAGTCTGTAGATTGCGACACATAATTTAAAGACTCCGATTAGTTCAAAAAAATGGAGAAGACGAGCTTCGGCAAAAACAACAACATTTGTTTTTCACGGTATGCATTCATTATTTATTTTTAATCAAAAAAATTTGGTTCAAACCTTTTTTTTTAACATTATCTTTAATATGAACACAACATGTGTCGGGAGTTTGGGATCCCTTTAACAGTAGAAAACAAGCTTTACATTAACAGTATAAAACAAGCTTTTCACATTCTCAAAAATGATATAGACAAATTCATCTACAATTTATTTAGACGATGATAAACCTACAGTTTTGTTGCATTTATTTTAAGTTTTTAGCGCCATTAGTGAAGTAATTGCGGCCATCAGGTGGTTGAATTTAATATAGTTTAAATAGTTGTTGAATAACCTCAGGTAAATAATTGTTAAAACGAATTTGCTAATATCTAAAACTTTTATTGGTTGAAAATGAGTAATTAAAAAAAAAACTTTATAAGATTTTGTATAATTTATCAATAAAAGTTGTTATTAAGATAAAAAAAAAAAAAAAAACTTTGGCTTTCGAAATGTTGAGGTTCAATATTTTTTTTTAAACAATGTAAAATTTTAAAAGCGTTTTCAAATGGTTTTTTTTTTATCGATGCAGCGACCATTTGAAGTGTGTGATATGAATATTATTTTTGTTTAAGTTTTAACTATACAATATGTTTTTTATATATGTAACTTAATAATTTGACAAAATTTTTTAACAGCAAAAAAAATGATGCATATTTGCTTCATATGTAGATTGATTATATATGATTAAGTTGATTTGCTGTATAAGTGCTGTTGCATCAGGGATTTCTGGAGTTATTCTTGCTCTCAAATTTTTTATCACCAGTTTGAAGTTTTTTGTCAACAATGGGCCTCTGATTTTCAGAATTAAGATCAATTTATTAAGCATATAAAATGGCATAAAATTAATGGCTCATTAAAGCTCTGTTTTGTTTTATGCAAATGCAATGCAGTAGTACTTCTTTAACATTACATAACCATAACATAATAACAATACATAATCTATGCCAACATTTAAAATCCAATCATCTAAATTGTTTTGAAAAATATTAAAGTTTTGGGGATGAAAAATTTATAAAAAGTAATGAGATTAATAATAACTTCGTTTAAATAAGACTATGATGATAAAGAAAACACAACCAACACTGTGAGCACATGCTATGTAATGAAAAAAGCAATACAGTAGCTGTTGCAATTGTTGCAGAACTGAGAACTAATAGTAGTATACCATTCTGTGTTGTGCCAAGCATATTTTTTCATTTAATCTTATGACAAACTGTGTTCTTTCAGATTTATAAATAAACATATGATTATCAGTAAAGGAAATAGAAAGTGGGTAAGGTCAGGTTCATCCTGCTACTGGTAACATGTAACCCAGTACAATCTGCTTCATGTCCTGCTGCCTTGTAGAATATGCCGTTTTAGGCAAAGGCTAGGAGATGCAAACTCCAACATAAAACACCCCCTGCCTTGGGGCTCTTGGTTGAGTAAAGGCTAGAGATGGTGTCTCGATAAAAATACTCATCTTGGGCAGATGTTAAATGCATCCGGCTGCTGTCTTGTAGAAGGCCTCCTAGGCAAAGACTTAAGGGGTAAACAGATTCTATCTGTTGACCAGCCTCGCACCCCTTCTCCATCTATTAGGCTGGCGCAGATGTATTTTTAATTTAATACATTTAATACATTTTTTCCAGTTTAGGATGTTGAACGCTAGATCTTCTTTCTTGACTCGATGCATGGGTTTTGCTTGTGTCTCTGTTTTTATGACTAGGCAACTCATTCTATTATCTCCAAATGAGGGTACAGCTCTAAAACTCAGTTTTATGGTTCTTAGGCCGCCTGGTAGTCAGGTTTCCCGAACTCTGTGGTAGCTCTCAGAGAGGCTGATTCCATCAACAGCTGAAAAATATCAAAGTACTAACAGTGCCATGTTGCTCATGGATGGTGTCCTTGTTTGTACTTTTGGTGTGCATTGCCAAAGCCACATTGGAGCTTTTGTTACAGCTTAGGGTTTATTAGTGGCAATGAGGCAATTGCTTGGGCTATAAAACAGTCTACTGAGTGCTATCTATGTTTCGAGTCGAGTTCTTTAACAAATTTAAAAAAGAATAAAGTAACAAAAACTATAAAACACAAAAAACCACAGTCATCACCAAGTTCGCTAAACCTATCATTCACCAATATTCGTGGTCTTTGAAGTAACTATATTTCTGTTGAGTCTTATGTTTTGCAAAGTTCACCAGACCTACTTGCTCTTTGTGAGACTAATTTGAGTGAACCTGACTCATCTTGTGATCTTAGTGTTGATGGTTATCTTCCTTTTATTCGTAAAGATTCCAATAGTCACATGCTTGGCCTAGGCATTTACATTTGTAAGAATTCCCATTTGTCGGGAAACTAGGTTTGAATCCACAGACTACTCTTTTATGTCAGGCTTGGTCAGGAAGCGGGAGCGATCGCTCT